GCAACACATGTGCTCGTCCGGGCGTTTCGTACAACGCGAACATCGACTCCAACGGGAAGTGATCATCACGGTTGCCAACAACCAAAACCTGCGCACACGAAGACAAGGAGTGGTACAGCTTCAGTCAAGAGAAACAAATGTCATACTGCACATGTCTAAGGTACTCATCGCTGAAGGACTCGGCTACAACTTACTGAGCGTTAGCCAGTTGATGGCGAAAGGAATTCATCTGGAAGCCGACAGCACGACCCAGGAGTTCAAACTTTACCACGGGAGAGGCGGTCTCTACATCGGGAAAGCAGTGCTGAAGAACAACGTCTTCGTCCTCGACTTCGTTCCTGACCTGGGCACTGCAGACAGCGACGCCATCGTGAATTTCACTGACTGGACACACCCTCCGGATCTCGACCCCGACTTCAGCCCAGGAGGCTTCTGGTACTCGCACACCATTCCTGAAGCAGAACGAACACGAGCATTAGCAACAATTCGACAATCGGCAGCAGTAACAACATCGGCAGCAGCAACAACATCAGCAGCAGTAACAACATCGGCAGCAGCAACAACATCGGCAGCAGCAACAACATCAGCAGCAGCAGGAACAACGACACCAGTCACAGTCGACGAAGCACCACCAACACCCGCGAAACAGCTGAATCCGACTCAACGTGAAGTCCACCGAAGCGCCAACCTCGTCGCCAGCTTTTACTCCAACTCCGACGCATATCAGCGTTCACCTGGACACCGCGCCTCTGAAGAGATCTGGCACGCACGAACAGGACATCCAAGCAACACGGTTTTGAATAACACGATAAGAGCAGGAGTCCTTGACAAAGATTCTCTACTTCTACCCGATGGCAGAGAACTCCAGAAGGCACGAGGGACTTGCCTTATATGTCCCGAAGCTGACTTACCTCATCGACCGTTTGCTTCACATCACAACCCGAGCGCTCCAGCGTACGCACCACTCGAAAAAGTCTACAGCGACATCCTCTACAATCGCGAGCCAGGACAAGTCAACTACAACTACACCATCACCTTCATCGACGCCGCCACTCGATACGTCTGGCATCGCAACCTACCCAGCCGCGACATGGCGCTCGCAGCATTCGCCGCCTGGCTACCGATAGCAGAGAGAGAGTCTGGAACACAACTGAAAAATTTCCAGTCAGACGGAGGTGGCGAGTACACCTCTCACCGCTTCAAGCAGTTCTTGGCGGAAAGGGGGATCAAGCAACTCCTCTCCCTTCCCTACGCACATCAGCAGCAAGGTGTTGCAGAACGACTGAACAGGACCCTGCAGAACAGCATGCGCAAACTATTACGTGGCATGCGGCTACCCAACCACCAGTGGCCAGCAGCAATGGACCACGCTGTCATGCTACACAACTTGTTGTCGTCGTCGTCACTCCCGAACAACGCATCACCGCATCTGCTGTGGACAGGGAAGCAGGGCAGCACGAAAATGTTACGAGTTTTCGGGTGCATGGTACAGTACAGACCCCCAGAAGCACGAGCGGGAAGATTTTCGCAACGGGCACAGTGGGGACTACACCTCGGCATCGAGAAAAATTACAACGCATGGAAAATCTTCGACGTCCACACAAAGGAAACAGTAGCAGCACGTGACGTGATCTTCTACGAAAGACTCACCCTTCAGACGTACCTCGCCAACTTGCACGAGAATCGGGACCTCACCAGTGGTTTTCGTGGTGACCGAGCCTTCGCGTCAGCAGCGGACGAAGCAGACTGGGATGAACAGAACGTCGACAACGCCTCAGAAGAAGCCGGACCTCTCCCATACTGCTCCGTCGACGTGCCCATGGATGAGGATAATCCTCGCGACAGTAACAACGCCGAAATCTTCTACCGTTTCGCCGACGATGGTTACGTAACACCTGTGACAGTCAACACCAACGAAGCAGAAAGGGTAGGGCCAAATTTCATGCCCGACCCAGAAACGGGAGACGAAGCAGCTTATCCCGAGGATCCAGAACTCCCTCGATACTCACAGACTGGGCTGCAAATCCTCGGCCTCGTCACCGCAGTCCACGGGAACACACGCAGCTCGCTTCCTAAAGAGCCTGCAACGGTTCAGCAGGCTCTGGGGGGGGAACACAGGGAGAAATGGCGTGAAGCCATGGATAGAGAACTGAAGGCATTAGAGGAACGCAACACTTGGAAGGTTGTTCCCGTAAGCGTGGCACGGAACAAAACCATCCTTACCGGGAAATGGGTCTTCCGCATCAAGACGAAAGCAGACGGCACGATCGAAAAATTCAAAGCACGCTGGGTCGTACGTGGATTCGACCAAGAGCAAGGACGAGACTTCACCGAGACCTTTGCTCCAGTCAGCCGCCACACGTCACTCCGAATTCTCCTCGCCATTGCCGCCATGAAGAAGAAGAAGTTACGGCAGATCGACGTCGCGAATGCCTTCCTCTACGCACCTGTGGATGCAGAAATCTACGTCGAGCTCCCGCACGGTTCCCACGGCGAACCCAACCGAATCTGTCAACTACTTAAATCGCTCTACGGGATCAAGCAGGCACCGCGACTGTGGCAGCAGTACCTGCACGCCCGTCTCATCCGCATCGGCCTTAGTCAACTACCTCACGACCAAGGCATGTACCGCCTCACTAAGGGAAGCGACTACGTTCTCCTGATCGTCTACGTGGACGATCTCCTCTACATTGGGTCAACCGACGGCATCGCCACGTGGTTCGAAGGAGAGCTCCAGAAAGACCTCACGCTCACGGTCTCCTCCACCGTTACACAGTACCTCGGGCTCAACATCCGCGAAGAAGAAAACGCCATCTATCTAAGCGCCGAGAAATACGCCGACACCATCGCGAAACGCTTCAGCTTCACACCAAGCGCCATCTCCACGCCCTACCGCTACACATCAGGAACCGAGAAGGAACGAACTACTCTACTAAAGCCCGCCGGCATACGCGACTATCAGAAGAAGCTCGGATGCCTGCTATTCGCCGCCGTCACCTGCCGTCCTGACTTATCCTACTCCGCAAGTCAGCTCGCCACCTATCTCAAGAAGCCTGAAGCTGAACACCTGGCGGAACTTGATCGCGCTCTCCACTACTTCGTCAGCACCGCGACGATCGGGCTAACCTACCACAAGAGCGCAGCTACACCGACTAAGCTAATCGGCTACGTCGACGCCGATCACGCCGGCGACACCGACAACAGGCGCTCACGCACCGGCTATGTCTACCGCCTTGAGCCTATCGGTCCTATCTCCTGGCAGTCGAGCAAGCAGGAGTTAATCGCACTATCTTCAGCAGAAGCAGAATATATTGCACTCTGCTCAGCCACCAAGGAGGGACTTTACCTTCGCGAACTACTGGAAGAAGCGAAGCTAGCCGAGTTACCCAGCTTCACCGTGTTCTGCGACAACCAGTCAGCAATTCGCATCGCCAACAAAAACGGCTTCGCAAACAGGACGAAACACATCGCCCTGCGCTATTTCTTCGTGAAGGACGAGATAGAAAAAGGGAAACTCGATCTGTCATACTGTCCAACATCCGAGATGGCAGCCGATTACTTGACCAAGAAACTCGGCAAGCAGAAGTTCGAATACTGCATGATGCTGACTGGACAAGGCCACGTCACCAGCAGTAACACTCCAGAAGCGAAGGGGAGTGTTGGAAACAATAAGTCCTAAGTGCGCTTCTGTCGTATCAAAATCCAAGGTACCAAGCGAAGCAGTCCCAATCGAAGCATCGAGTCAACCTCGGAGGTTAGGGTAACCGCCTGGAGGTTACGAGAAAGTCAAAGGTCGCTGACCTTTGACTCGACAATTACAGCGCGACAGTTAAGGACACACAACTGACTCGTTACAGAGCAGTTGCCCGAGTCGCGCTATATCGAACCGCAACAGCAATACAGTTATCTATCTATTCCCTGTACTCTTATATAAATCCTTGTATTTGCTTGTTTAATTCAATCAACTTTGCTCTCACACACCAGTGCAAGGTCGGTTCAAATTCTTCACTAAACGCTTCCGCTATTACAACTACTTCACCTAGAGTTATCCCTTGCAAAGATCCTAAGGGGCTATCTCAGCCCAACATCATGGTCACGGGCGCTTGCTACAAGATAAGGAGCTGAGGTTCATACCAGCATGAGGCACTAGTGTGGGGTACTCCATGAGGTACTAGCGCATGAGGTACTAGCGTGATACTAGCGTGAGTGGAAAGAACTGGTTTCTTGATTCTTGGGTTGGGTTGGGTTATCGAGGTGGTTTCACATATGTGAGCACGTGAGATTCAGCTGACTCAGCTGATACACTAGATTTCATGTGCAGTTTGCGTCAGCTCCAGAAAACTTGACGAAAGCGAAAAGCGAAATGCACGTTCCCCATAATACCCCATAATAGTAGAGTCGTAACTCACTCATATACACCAAAAGTAACCACATAGTACTTGCGTATATTCTTCAGTCGAAATTCCACATAATTGGGCATTAGGTGTGAGATAGAATGCAATACATAAAAAACAAAAACGGCTGTAGAGGGTGGAAAAAGGTTACGGATATATATAGCGGTGTTGCATTTATTTTGAGTATGATATCAGAGTCTACGCAACCCTTACGACGTTCATCGTCGAGCCTTGTTTTTTTTAATTGTGCCCCAAAATCTGTTTATTGGGAGCAAATTTTATTGAACCATGGAAGGAAAGCTTGCTTTGTCATAGCTGACATATCAACAATGACAAGTGCATTTAATGATATTATAACATAGTGAGCTACTACCAGTAACTGCATCTTTACAAATAATATAAGGGCGTGTTCCTACGGCCCCTTATCAGGGCTACCTCTTATCAAGCTCGCTACTTTTCCCCCTGAAAATTCCCTAAACCCGAAAACCCTCACTACTTTTACCAGGCAAGGCTGACAAGAGGTTTGCCCGATAAGAGCGTAGGAACACGCCCTAACCACTGATAATGGAGACAAGATCCTTTGCATAACAAAAATGAATAAAATAATTATTTGCTGGAGCTGGGCATATCTGCAGCATTCAATGCTCGAGCTCCTGCTGCCACAGCCTCCTTCAGCTGCGGCCAATCAGAAGCAAGGAAACTCAGAAGCGATCCAGAATCTTCCTCCTCAGCTAAACCCTCCTGCTGCATCTGCTCCTGCTCCTGCTGCTGCTGCTGCTGCTGCTGCAACAACTGCAGCTGCCGCAACTGCTGTAGCTGCTGCAGCTGAAGCAACGGCTGCTGAAACTGACCATTCAGCAAGCATTCCAAATCAGAGCCCTTAGCAGCTTCCTCTGCACCACCAGTTGCAGGCATCAACGCATCTGCTCCACTGAAACCTGCATTGAAATTCCCGTTGTAACCTGAAGCGAAACCAGCATTGGGCACCGCCTGAATATCCCCTGCAAGAATCTGTGCCAGGGCTTCAACTGAGGCATGGCGCACCCCCGTATCCAACATCTCCCCTCCAAGCTCCCCTAACATCAAGGAATCACCAACGGCGGTTGTAGCGGCTGTAGCAGTGGCAGCGGTGGCAGCGGCTGCAGCAGCGGGATTGGACATAGGCTCCGCAGACTGTAGCGGCTGAAAGGGGTGCAGAGGCATGTGAGCTGCAAGATTGTCGAGCACAGAGAGATCAATGGTCAGATTTCGCTGCCCCAGCAGGGACATGCCCTGGGCCGTCCGATCGGCTCGCGTCACCATCCCATCGACTCCCACCGTTCCTGCTCCTGCTGCTCCTCCTGATGCTGGCCCTGCCCCAATTATCGGCTTGTTCTGCTGGTGAGAATTGGAGAGGAGGCTTTCCCGTATGCTCTCTTTTAGGGTTTCCCGGAGGAGAGGAGAGGAGGAGGCTGCGGAAGGAGACTGGAGATTGGATGGGAACACACCGAGCGCACTGCTGGTCGTCCCCAGCCCCGTGCTGTTCAGCCCAGTGAAACTACCAAGCCCTGGAAAGTTTCTTGCAGCAGCAGCAGCGGCGGTTGAGGCAGTGGCAGCAGCAGCAGCAGAGGCAGAAGCAGCAGAGGCGGAGGCCGGAGCGCCTGCTAGGGCAGTAGAATCGCCTGTCAGGAAACGCGGCATGAGGGGGGAGGCGGAGTGTGGTGAGGGGAAAGGCTGAGCGTTCCCCGCAGGGGAAAAGGGCGGATTCGAGTTCCCCCCCCCGAAACTTCCCCCACCGAAGGGCGGCGCGAATCCCGCTGCAGCCGCGGCAGCCATGGCGGCAAGGGAGGAGGGGGAATCCCCTCCGCCCATGGAGCTCCGCACACTGGAGGGGAAGCGCATAACGCCATGGGGGGAGGGGGAACCGCGGCAACCCGAATTCCCCGCCGTACCTCCGCCAAGGGGGGAGAAAGCGCCCGCGGAAAGGTAGTTCTCGCCGCTCCCGCAGTAAGCGCCTCCCCCGAAAGAGCTTCCCCCGAGTGCCCCAGCTCCTCCGCTTGCCGTGCGCCCCAGGAGGGAGTTTCCGAGAAGGGACCCCCCAAAGTTCCCCAGGTTGGCGGCGGCGCTGCCGTATCCACTTCCGCCCAACCCTGCGCTTCCCCTCAGCCCACCGCTTCCGCCAGACAGTCCGCCAGACGCTCCGCCAAGCTCCGCGCAAGCTATGTCCCCCCCACCAAAGCGCAGCCGCTTCGCGGCCTGAAGATACTCAAGGTCGTATTCCCCCACCGCCGGCGCTCCGCCGCCCCATCCGCCGCCAAACGTTCCCCCGCATGCCCCCATGGCGGAAGGAACGAGTGGAGTGGGGTCGCGAAGAGATTGGCGGAGAACGGGAGAGTCGAGACTTCCGCTGCGCGGAAACGCTAGGCGCGCGGCTGAAACGGCGGAGGCGGAAGGAGGAGCGACGCCCGCCGCGCCGCCTGGCGGAGGAGACGGGCATGCGGAGCCGGCGGCGCCGCCGCTGGATGCGGTGGCGAGGCGGCGGAGGACGTCCGCAAGCATGCGCACGTTTTCCGCCTTGGCGGAGCTTGCGGAGCAGCCGTCCATGCTGCTCCGCCGCGAGTGCGCCGCGCTTCCGCAGCCCGCGCTACCCGACGAAAGCGGAGACGGACTCTCACGATGCGAGAAAAAGTTCGCGCCGCCTCCCGCGCCACCGGCGCCTCCGGGAGCGTACATTGGAGCGTAGAGCGGGACACCGGAGTAGTAGGGGGAAGGGGAAACCCGGCCGTCGCTTCCGGGGGAGCTGGCTGGGGCGTCGCGCGGCGAATCGATCACGCGCGCGGTCTGGCGGAGGGAACGGGGCAACCATGGCGGGACGACAGGACGCAGGGGGGAATGGCGGGGAGAAAGTGGGAGGATGAGACACTGAGTGTTGACAATGGTAGATTCAGGGTGAAGAAAAAAAAAATCATTTGAAGCAGGGTAACCAGGTTTGAGGCGACCAACAATCCTATCGTAAATCATTTCTCGAACACGAACCCAACTCGCCAACCAATCAGACGAGGAGACTTTCAACGAAGAGCAATACACCCGAACACACAGCATACTGTGCAATTTTCTCCGAAAAGGAAACCCTAATCTTGAGGAAAAGCTTACCCTATTTTTGATGATTTCCGCGAGAATGGCGGGGTATTTCCGCTTCAACGTGGAATTCCAGTGGTTCTTAATCGCGTTGTCAGTGCGACCGCGCAGGCTCTTCGCAATGACGGACCATTTGTTGCCGTGCTCCGCGTGTCCCAGTGCGATTATTCTGTCCTCTTCGTCCGTGAACGGATTTTTATTTACCTGAGCAGGAAACACCAAAGCAGGGACTCATGTTAGACCACAATCGGTGCGAGTATCTCAGTGACGCAGCGGAGGGAAAGTTGGAAACGCGATGCGATGGTGATGCGAGGAAATACGCGACGCCGCGTCGGTAATAAAAAGAGAGACGAGGCGAGATACGCACTTCGGGATTCAGTTGATTGCACCACCGAAGTCGACAGCTCTTGCCGGAGCGCCCTTTGAGCCCCTGAGCAATGAGCGACCAATTGCGCGGCCCGTATTTGGCGATTATCTCCATTAGCAGCTCATCCTCCTCGGGACTCCATGGCCCCTTCACGACATCCGAGTCCTTCTCGCCGCTCTCTTCCTTATGATCTTCTTGTTGTTGCTGTTGCTGACGCTGTTGTTGCTCCGCTTCCGCCATCGCCGCAACCTTTACGATACTATCTTCGACACTATGCTGTGACTACAGATGATAAAGCTTGCGCCACGTACGTTGCGATACCAAATTTGTCGATAATCTCTACTCGCCTCAGAATGTATCGCGCGCGTCGGCTCTCCTGACCTCGTTTTCTTTCCAACAACCAAACGGCGTTGATGCCACAAAATCGCTAAGGAATTGCACAAACAGCTATCTGAAACGCAGCGTTTTGGTGCACTGTCTGTAGAAACGCGGTGCGTGGGAGTGATGTGTGTGGTGGGTTGGTGAGAATGTGGCAAGCGACACTGTCAAAACTGAATCAGAGTTTTGCTGTCCAGCCCGCGGCTACATATGGCATCTGTTCCTCCTGCTCGCTCCTCTAGCCAGTGGCTCAGATCGTTCCCTAGCGCTGTGGGTGTCTCATTTGTTCTGGCTGCCTCCCTCCTTCCTGGCTCGCTTGTAAAATCACGATCGCTCACTGCGGTAGTGTTGCACTGCAAACTGCATCTGCGGAATGAACAATGACAATCCATTGCCAATGGCGGTGTATTTTATGCTCCCCACCAAATCACTCACAAATCAGACACCCATACATCCCAGCCTAGACTCGAGGTTTGGCACACAAACCAGCCAAAATCACGCTTCGGACACCTGCGTGCCTCGGCAACGCGGCCTGGAAAACCAGTGATGCGGGCTGACCTTGGAGCGACATGGCTTGCCAGCTTGCGAACGAGGGACAGAGGGTTGGTGGATCACGGGTGACAGTGGGGTGCTCAGTGCGATGGTGGTGGATTCTGTCATTTTGGGCTGTGCAAGCTGGCGGTTCTGCACGCGTGGATCGTACTGTAGAATGCCGAAACTGCGACGGAGCCGTGTGGCCGTGCCCTATGACGTGGAGGTCCAAACAGAGTGAGCTTGCCCTATTTTGTGGAGATGGGGGGGTGGACTCAGTGTCACCCACGCCTGGATCCATTCAGGCTTTCCGGATTCTGTAAACCTCTTTGCCATTTTTGTCCCAAGTTTGTATTTTACTGTGTTCCGCCTCAAAACAACTCGAAATACACCGGACTTTGGCTTCCAAAATCGTGGATAGGTTGTGATTTCCAGTGTATCCCAGGAGTTGACGAATTCCAAGTGTGTTCAGGGACTTCAGGACTTGTGTACTTGAATGTTCAGGTTGTTTCAGTGACCTCGAAAAAAAAAAATGACATTGCCTTCGCCGAAGTCCAGTATGACTTAAGTGTCAGCCAGATTTGCAGCATGTTTACTGACCTGGCCGAAATTTGATACAGCCGCTTGCAAGCGCTCTATACTCGGATCCGGAAGAACTGAACAGACACTCCCACATGCAATTAATGGTAGGGTTGACGTATGTCAGGCTATAACACGGAGGTACATCCAAACATCACCCTGCAAAACAGGCAAGTGTAGGAAAACTAACCTGAGTCCCTGTGACCCAAATTAAACACAAGTGAAAACTCACGGAGCTGGTCTGGCTTTCAAAATGCGAGTCAGGGGGTAGGACTTGGCTGGCACAGGTGAAAGCAAGTGGGAGGGGGACGGAGGGGGAGGTGGGTGGGTGTACATCCTCCATTATCCAAGCGAGACGACACAGCTGTCGCAACACCAAACTCAGGACGCGGTGTAAGTGCTCGATCGGGTGGATCGATTCGGTCACCGCACTGAAAGCCGCGTTCTGGACACAAAATGTACACAACCTTCTATAACCGCGCTAAAAAACGATCAGTAGGCGATCGATTTTCCACTTTCACCGCGTCACCAATACTGTACACCATTCTTGCAGAGGTGAAACAATACGTCCAAAGTACAATCTTTTAACCCTACCTAGACTTTTAACCCCAGATGTTCTGCCCAAACGGTCTGAACGTACAATGATTCCTCCTCCTCGCCAAACGTCAGGGAGAAGTTTAGACTAAAGGTGATCAGTCCTACGCGGTTGTTGGTTACTGTATGATTGACGGCCGCCTTGCACGCAAGCTTGATGCTGTTAGCCGCACCGAGCAGCACACCGGACGGGATAGTTCACAAGCGTAAAAAGTTCAGAGAAGGACATTAGCCCTGAACATATCAAGTTCGGAGACAAGTGATGCAATGGATGAATTTGGCTATCATCGCTACTCTGGTACACCCTTATTCTCAGTCTTCTCACCGGCGGAAGCAGCGAATACAGTGTTTGGACGTAGCGGGCTGGTGAGATAACTCTGTTGCGGGCCAAGTCGCACAAGGCGACGAAACCAGACTTGGGCCATAAAATTCCGTTAACGCTGAATAACTGTCTTAACCGTTTAGAAAACAGCAGTAAGATTCTAGAACGTATAGAACCTTGACTAAACGCCCTGGGTCAAACTGTCAGTATAACGCATGTGATAGGACCTTCTTTGGTCCGCTGCGGCTACACTAAGCGTCATGGTCAGTATAACATATGCCAGTCTAACGAGAATGAGGGTGTAATCAGACCGTACAAACATCAGAGCGACAGCTGGAAAAAGCTGGCAATGCCATATAGAGAACTGGCCGACCAAGAACGTCAGCAAGGCGGTCTTGAGGCCAGCACTCCTAGATACAGCACTCTATTTGTAATCATGAAGCTTGTCCTTCTAGAAGACTGGCTGGAGGGTGAACAACACGCATAATAAATTTGACAAACAGTTCCACAGAGCACTTTCGAATTAGTACACCCGCTACCTCGCCAACGGACAGTTACCTGGATCTGGCAAGATAATTAATTGAAACTATTGTCTCTAAATAATTACACAAGAACAAGAATATTGATTATTATTTACACAATAATATTGTCAGTAAAGGGATGAACTACGATTCTAGTGCATATTAAAATTGAGGGGTTTAGAACTATCATCATGAAGAATGCCTTATACTGGCCTATTATGGCGATAAATTCTTCTTGGTTGGGCCACAGTTTATCACTTGCTAAATTAGTTTGTCAGCGTTATGTTTTTGTTGCACATTTCAACGCCAGTATTTTCGGTTTTAAACACCTGCTCGATTTTTACAAAAAGACTGGCATGCTGAAAAGTTTCTCTGGTATTGATGGCTACTTACAAATGTACATAAATATGCGACATAGTGAACAAGTTTTAAGAAAAAAAAATATTTGAACTCTACTATCATGTTCAAATATTATCTCAAATTTTGGTGCGGTAACTTCCACATCAACAGCTCATATTTGTGGTGTTAACAGATTATACAAATATATAAAACTTCAATTTAGCATATGTGTCAAATAAGTTGTTATATCATTCTGTATACTCCCAAATATATATGTTTTAGGACGCTTATGCTACCTCTACACTTGTACCACGGAGAGCGTGAACATAACTTGGGTTAGAATCGTGACAATTTACTGTATATATACTATATATACTTGTTCGATTCGTCTATCATTGTACAAACGGTGTTGATGTGTCACATGAAGTTCAACTCGAGCTTGTCGTTTCGGCTTCGAACTTGTTCCACGCTTGACTGATGAACTCCTGAAGTTCATGAAGACGCGTGCGTTTGAGTCTTGGCCAGCAGTAATGGTCAAATTCACGTGCGTTCACGTGCAACTGACTGCTTTTCACTGGCTTACAGCTGGCTGCAGGTTGAAAAGGGTGACACAAGGACGAACCGCAAATCAAGTGCTGCTGTTTGACACGATTTAGCGACTGGATATGCTTTCGCCAGTGACAACTCAGAGAGCCTCTTCCCATCGAAATCACAGCTGCTGACGCAAACGCATCTGGAAACTTCGCAACCCCTATCATTCACTTTCGAGTCCACCACGCGTATAAGAATTAGGCAACGCAGTGTATCCATCCCAATTGTAAGGAATTTTCTCGGCATTCCTTACGGAGCCGACTACATCGCGTACAGCAACAGCCGTTGTTCGCCCGTTACTATTAACGGGACTTCGCTGACTTCGCGCGCACTGTTTTGCCAAACCTCGCACTGCTGGCATGGCCGTATCGGCCTACGCTTCGGGACTAGCCCGAGCCTCGCTCCAGCGTAGCACTAGCAAGCTCGCACGCACCGCGTTACCGTTTTGCATGTTTCGCGTATAAATGTTCGCTCATGCCTTCGCTCACATTTTGTACTCGTTTGACACCTTAGTGCAATTCTCGCTACTTCGATTCATTGCACCCGTAACACTTGGTATCAGAGCCCCTTTCTCTCGGACCGCGCATCTCCGCACACCAGGAAATCAACTTTTGATTTTTCACTCGAAGGGACTCACGCACCTTAGCCCCTAGGAGCCGCTGTCCTCGCGTTCTCTCGTAAACGCGTGCAGCCACGACTGCGCCTAGACTAAGACGAGCCGACGCCCTTCGTCATGGCCGAAAATATCGACGTCACAACCCTCACGCATGAGCGTTTGAACGATCTGCTGCGACAGCTGCGCGAAAGTTCCGAGGAAATCGCGGCATTGACGGCAGAACGCTCATCGCTGCAAAATGACCTCACGAGGGCACAACAAGCACAATCTCAAGCACCTGGCACTCCGATTCAACCTGCACCCTCGACATCACAACACGGGAGTGTGGGGCAACCCGCGAGCGCGGCCAGTGATGGCGTCGTCCGCCTCGACGGGGACGACGACCATGGCACGACACACCCCGGAGCGACGCATGCGGCCCCAAGTCAGCCTCGCGTCACGATTTCGGCACCAACCCACGATTCGGGACTGCCGTCACCGAGGCCGCTGAAGTCGCAGCGCCCGCCATGCTTTGACCCGAGTCAACGGGGTGGTCCTACCGTTCAGGCGTGGTTGTTCACGATGAATGTTTTCTTCGACGCTAACTACGTCTCGAAGGACTCGGCGAAGATTCGATACGCTGTGTCGCTGCTACGAGGACCCGCCATGGACTGGTGGCGCGTCATCGTCACGAAGCCGACAGACTACGCGACACTACCGACACGGGAAGGACAAACCGGACCCTGGGCGCCGTCGTATTTCGTGGAGGTGCCCCAGTATTGTGAGAATA